AGGTGTGTTTATATGTATGTATGTATAAATAAGTACACTGTAGAGAACACTTGATTTGTAAAGTGTGTTTATATGTATGTATAAATAAGTACACTATAGAGAACACTTGATTTGTATGGTGTGTTTATATGTATGTATGTATAAATAAGTACACTGTAGAGAACACTTGATTTGTAAGGTGTGTTTATATGTATGTATGTATAAATAAGTACACTGTAGAGAACACTTGATTTGTAAGGTGTGTTTATATGTATGTATGTATGTATAAATAAGTACACTGTAGAGAACACTTGATTTGTAAGGTGTGTTTATATGTATGTATGTATAAAAAAAATTATTTTGTTTGTATTTTTGGTCATCTGGCAGTTTTTACCAAGAAGGCCTTTATTGAACTACATAGCCTGTAAAAATAACTAAAGTGTAATTTCGTAGTTTCCTCTTGCCTTTACCAGTAGATGCAACAAGATTTAAAAACATCCATGTTTACTTTGTTTCCTTTTATAAATGTGTTCAGTGAGAGACAATCACAAAAAAATACAAGTGATAATTTTGGTACACATGAAAATACAAGTATCTCAGACGGACGCATGAACTCCTCGGTATTTGGTATTTTCTATCTGTACGTTATGTATGCAACACACGGACTGAATTGAACGGCCGGGTAAAAGGTTTAGGCGTAGTCATCCACAAATGGAAGTGCGGGGCATGTTCAGTGGCAAATCTTGACTCAAACCTTGGATCTTCTGACCAGCATCCCAGCCTGATCATCAGCTATTATATATTTCCCAAACCACCAGTGTCACTTGCCACCTCTTAGGTTTAGCAAAAGCAAAATAAGACAATGGTAATATTCACCACTGCTAGTTGACTAACCTAAAATATGAAAAACATGGGATACCATACTGATTTTAATTGAATCAACACAGTGTATAAATGGATTGAGAGTTATCTATAATCATGTTACTAAAAAGCCCTTCCTACAGAAGATTGTATATATATATATATATATCAGTGAGAGTTTGTCAGATGTACCTTGCTCATCATTCCAACAATACTTAACTTCAACTTCCTCCATCAATTAGGAAAGAAGACGTCACTACAAAACATAAAATAGCATTTTATATTTAAACATTCACTGAAATCACTCCACGTTGTTTTTTTTTTCTTCTTCTTCTTCTTCTTCTATACAATCTGTAGTTATTGCAATTTCTGACTTTGAAAATTTTAAATTGCAATACATCCACAAAATAAATACGTATTTATGTTCTGTCAATCTGTTTTCTTTATTAATTACTGTACTACTTTCTGCCCGATGTTTGCAGAACTGTAACTTTAACATGAATTTCCAACATTTTTCTACTGTTGAATATTAAGAAGCCGTTAAAACAGCGTGTCTCTCTAAGGCACGTGATTCTGTTGTTCTATAAGTAAAGAAAGAGTGTGTTTTATAACCATAGCTTAGTTTTTATTAATGTCGAATTGTGTGTGTAACTATGATGTTATGGTCAAATCAAAGATATTTAAATAAGGTGTGTAGAAATGTTACATGAATGTTGTAAAGATTTCTGTCAGTGTATTTAGTTTTTATCTCTAAACATAAAACACTGTCCGATGGTGATAAGTAATTATAGCTTGTGTTTGATAAAGCATTTACAGTATTTTTGATAGGTATGTTGTTGTGAAACCACACTGTACGTAATGTTTGATACTAAATTATTCTACTGGAAACTGTCATCTGTGGTGTTTGATACAACATCCCTAGGCATTGTTATTGTCGTATCTTATGGTGTTTTTTGTAAGCTTTTTGATATAAGCTAACATTTATTGCTATAAATGGTTCTTCGTGTTTAAAAGCGAATGCGTTGATGTACTGCTGTTATCTTCAAACTTCGTCAAATAGTAATTTCAGTCAGTTACTATAAAGAAATATAAACCCATCTTTTTGTGATGAAAAGAAATGACTTTCAGGGGTCACAGTGATGCAAATTTGTGCAAAATATTCTGCCTTTTTTTTTTTACACCCAAAGCTCAGCTAGACATAACGGTAGGAGATCTCACACTTCACAATATACCAACCACTGTCATTTAAATATATTTTCTTATTTTTTGTCAGTTTTCCCACAGATGATGAGGTGTACATGGGCAGTCAGCTGTGGACTAGCCAGGACTGTTGTTTGGTTCGGAGTGAGAGATCATCCTTTGAACAGTTTCTGTCTTGTATGTTGACACTTAATCTCTTGCGGACACGGTAAACATTTTTTTTTTGAAACCCCCTAACACAATCTCTTTCTTATGTCTTTGTAAAACATCAGTTTAAAAGCTAGTCTACATTATTAATAACATTCCAAAAAAAAAAGAGTTGGATCTACAGATCTTTAAGCATGAGAAAAATAAGCAGAGTTTACTATGGTACTTAAACATAAGATCCAGCAATGAGTTATTTCAGAGTGAAAATGTTATCCCACAACTGACTTCACTTTACCAGTTGTCATTTATCTCTGGTGGTTTTATATCTTTCTTTTTTTCCTTTCTCTCTCTCTCTCATCATTCAAAAATTTTTAATGGATTTTTCCAAACTGTAGGAATTCTGATGACAATGTCATTGTAATTGAAGACATTTCGTAATACACTAAGTTGTCACTTTGGTACGCTGATAAAAAAAATGTTAAGTAATTTAATATTATGTCCTTTGTAATCTGCTGCAGTGGAAATTGTATTTTTGAAAATGCTGAGCTTGTAATAAAATTTTAACTGAATCATTTATTTGAGTGGAAATGTGTTGCTGATAACTGAAAGTGTTCATTATACAGTTTCTGGGTAATACAAAACCATGCAAGTCCATTTTTATCATTATTTATTTTACATGAAAATGTTCCAAGAATGTGTGGAATCTGTTAATACCACTTAGAAATGGTACATTTATCATAACCTTGTAGTTCACATGTCCTCATTTTTGTAATTTCAAACCATATATGTTTAGATACATGAAACTTGTACGTTGATTTTTTTATATTACAATCATAAAGCATTAGCTATAACAAAGCTAGGTTACCAACAAATATATATATAAAAACGATACAATTTAAAAGACAAGTCATGCAACGTAAAGCAATCATGCAAAACCAAAAAAATTGTAAAAAAAAGAAGAGCTTACACTACAACATAAAAGTATAATTAGTGTATCTAAACTAGTAAAAAAGTCCAAATAATCAAATGAGGCATCTTGCAAACATCGGTGGCACAACACACCTTCCAAGGGTGTGACAGTAGTACGAGAGACACCTTTCCAGGTACGACAGTGACACAAAAGTTATTGTGATTACTTTGTTCCATTTGCTTTCTTTGTTCATTATAGTAAGTAAATGTCTGGGTTGAAAGAATTAGCACTGTAGCCTTTGCTGGCTGAGTTGACACCATTTAAGTGCTACAGCTGACCAATGCTGTGAGAGAACAAAGGTCATGAAGTGATGTTGTCGACTGGTCAAAGAAATGATTTTACCGGATGAATTCAGGCACACTTTTTTGATTCAGTTATACTTGGTTTTCATCGTGACTAGTTTGGTGGAGAGTCATCTTGAGGGATGGAAAGCTGACGAGCTCTTAACCCTGTAGAGGCGATCATCCACTTTTCTACATCTAAATATCAATTGTTTTCACTTTCCATCAGATGTATCCAATCTCTGAAATACAGTTCAATTATCAAACACAGATTACTCTCCTTATTTTCTGATCGAATCTTCTGTTATTAGCGTGTCTTACTATCTGATACTCGTAAGGAAATTGGTTTACTTGAAAACACCAAAGTTTCAACTCCAAAATTTAAAATTTTTGTTGAATAACTTTTTATGGATATGATAGAACATTTAGTATTTAGGTTGGTGGGCCAGGCATGGCCAGGTGGTTAGGGTGCTCGCAATCTGAGGGTCGTGGGTTCGAATCCCCGTCCCACCAAACATGCTCGCCTTTTCAGCCGTGGGGGTGTTATAATGTGATGGTCAATCCCACTATTCGTTGGTAAAAAGAATAGCCCAAGAGTTGGCGGTGGGTGGTGATGACTAGCTGCCTTCCCTCTAAGTCTTACACTGCTAAATTAGGGATGGCTAGCGCAGATAGCCCTCGTGTAGTTTTGAGCGAAATTCAAAAACAAAAAAAAGGGTTGCCATGTAAGGTTGGAAGTTAGAAAGTAAAAGTGTAAAATGTGGGTGGAGTTTGGAATTTTTTTTGGGGAGGGGGCAAATTGTGTTTTGCCCCCCGGGCGCTAAATACCTTCACTGGGGTTAGAGTAGATAGCCCTTGAGTAGCTTTCCGCGAAATACGACAAAAAAAACTTTAGATATTCCATCTTACGCCCTCTAGGAAAGAAATATCTAAATTAAAATATAGCTTATAACAATATATATTTATATATATTCATGATGTTAGAAAAACACGTACGTTCAAGAAGTCTTGATAGAAATTAATATGACCCGAGCGCTTTCGAAAGGTGAACCTTTTTTTGTTCAGGGAAACTACATATATATATATTTAAACCTAATACTGCAAGATTCTAACAGTCTTGCGTATAATTTCGTACAAGCCTCCTTCCCGGTGGCTCAGCGAAAATTCAGAGGGCATATAATACTAAAAAATCTGGTTTTGATACCAGCGGTGGGCGGCAGAGCATAGATATCCCAGTGTAAATATCTAAGAAATTACAGATTTTATTTTCTATGTTAATATTATTACCAGTTGTAGTAATGTAACGTGTACAACGTACCTATTAATCTTCATTTGATCTTTGACCTATCTAAAAGGTCATCGGTTTCATACAGGGTTTTAAATTATGAAATATACACGTAATATCCTTTCGATTTTATCCCTCATTTTATAAGCTTTTCATTTAACCTACTTTACTTTTCCAATTGGGAAAAAGGTCATCAAGACTGCCTCTAACCTTTCTTTGAAGAGTCCTTCTTTAAGTTGACTCTTTGGTGTCGTTCTTTGGGTCATTTTTTAAAAGCATTTCTTACGGAGTGTAGCTAGACTTTTAAATCAACAAGGCCGAAGAGGGTTCAGGGGCAGAGTCCCCAGTCTGTACATTATATTAGGTCTATTATTTGATAGGTAGTAGATTGCGAAAATAGTGGCCACTAATCAAAATACAAATAAAATCAGAAGTTGTGGACAAATATTAAAAAAAGAAAAAGGTTAGTTTGAGATGTCATCGAAAACTATGTAAATAATCACACAATGCGCGTGACTGTAAACAGTATCTTATTTAATGTAGCATGAGATGGTTATTCAAAATATAATAATTTCCAAAACATTTCAACACAAAACTTGTGAAATGACGATATATTTTTACAAAATTCCAATCTGTTGGTAACAATATCCAGTCTTAATAACGTTTACTTTCCTTTAAAAACACGTTGCTGATAACATCTTCGCTGATTCAAGAACAATCAATACAGCATAAACCATTTTAATATATTGTTGCGTCATCGAGATCATGTGATTCTCACGCTCTCTACTTTCTAGAATTATCCTGTATTTTGGCGAATGTTCTAGTTCTTACTAGATATAGGGTAGGCGGATATATATAAGAGGGGACAACGTAACGCGGTAAGGTAATGTGTGAGTAGATAGTGAGTAATTGAACTGCAGTTAGAGAGCACGAGAGACGTTACAGCGTTTGTTTAGCGCGATTGTTGAAGTTGAGTGTATCGGTAAAGTTATATTCGGAAAGAATAAACCAGTTTTATTAAGTAAAGACTTGTGTCGCTTAAGTTTCGTCGGTACGAAGTTACGGAAAATCAATTAACAAACGGAGACGTAACAATATTGTATCTTCAAATATATGAGCTATTTGGTTACCATGAAAACACACTCAAACGACACAGAGAATCAAATCTTGATCTTAAAAAAAAAAAAAGTGCATCAGTATAGTTTTATATTTTGCCTGAAGATGGTGCCACGGTAGGATCTGATTTTTGTGGACCCTGACCTTCAACGATCCAGTCCAAAGAATTACGTGTTCAATTCAGAGGTCGCGACAGTGACGCACACAATGAAACAGCGTGCACTGCAGTATATTAAAAAAAAAAGACGTACACTTTACCTGGGTAATGGGCCATTTCAGTATTAAAACTCGTCAAAATGTAGGGACTGCCTATATATTTCCGTAAGCACAATATTTGGCGTTGAAGTTTAGAAATGAATTCGGTAAAAAAAAAAATCTACATCATATAGAATAGTATCTGAACTATAACTGTATTCGAAAAAAAAAAAAAAGATACGAACGCCATGACACATTTAAAAGCATTTCTATTTATTCATGTTCCATATAAGGTATGCTACAGTGTTCAGTATATATATTGTTATTTGACAGTAACGTATTTCATTTTTCGTTCATAGCTGGTTCGTTGAAGTGTAAATAGTACACTATATTGACTGTTATGTTAATAGTAAAATAATACTAATCTACAATAATTATATTAATATCTCTGAAATACTTCAATCAGAAGAAACAATTGGTTATTCAGTATTCATCCACTTATCTAACCTTAAAAGTTTAATTTATCAAAGTTTTGGTTGTTGTTAAGCGGATATCGAAACCATATTTTTGTTCAACTAAGCCTTTAAAAAATACGAAGTTTTAAGGGCAGAGAGACTACAACAAAGGATTTCCTAAACGCTTGTTATGACAATGTTATTCTGTGTAAGTTATTCACTTAAAGACGATCAGAATTAGACAAATAAAAAAGTAAACGAAAATGTTTAGAATTTATTAGCTGTATTTTTCTTCCGTTTGAATGGTCTTCTAAAACAGCTTGTTAAAGCGGCTAAGTTCCTATGTAGCTGTGAAAATCGTAGCTTAGCTGGCATAAATTATAGTTAGCTTTTTATAATTTATTTTGAATACACGATATTTAATGAATGTATAAAGGCTAATGGGAGCTCAATTTTTTTATTATAATTTCCTGTTGAATTAATAAAGCCCTTAATAAGCACACCTGGCTTCAGGTGACTGCTATGAGTGACGTAATCGGTCAGTGTCACATGAAAGGAATGCTGCAAAACTTGGCAGGCATGATGTTTCTAACAGTACCTGTGTACTACGAATTATCGTTAACTGTTCTGTTTTAACAACTAGGTAAGATGACGAGGTGATTTATAATAAAGACCGAAGGTAGAAGTATGAATATTTACATACCACGTATAAGACAACTAATTCGTCTGGGATAATTACAGGTTATTCTACACCTTGGGTCTAATATATTTCTATTTAGTTACTTTGTTCAATATGGATCTCTCCCCAGTGCGATACAGACAACAAATGTCTTACTTGATGTTGTTTTCTTGTCAGAATAAAAGAGGGGATGACAGGGTTTGTTCTTATTTCAGTACAAACAACTGTATAAAATGGGTTTGTTTCCATTTTAAATAGTTTCTGTACAAAACTGGAGACAAACCCATTTTAAACAGATCTTCTGTGTCTTTCCTTTCAATATAGACAACTGTTCACTATTTATTTACCTTTAACACAATATAGACAACTGTTCACTATGTATTTACCTTTAATACAATATAGACAACTGTTCACTATTTATTTACCTTTAACACAATATAGACAACTGTTCACTATGTATTTACCTTTAATACAATATAGACAACCGTTCACTATGTATTTACCTTTAATACAATATAGACAACTGTTCACTATGTATTTACCTTTAATACATTATAGACAACTGTTCACTACGTATTTACCTTTAATACAATAT